ATCCATCCATCCATCCATCCATCCATCCATCCACCCACCCATCCATGATGGCCATGGAGTCACTTCTATCTTCTGGCTGTGGTGAACACTACTACTATTCACAGTACCCTGGTGTACAAGCTTCTGTTTTCGTCTCTCTCCCCACTCCCGCACCTTGTTTTCGTTCTTTCCAGCACATGTCTAGGATTTGCCTGTTTGAGTCATACGGTGGTTCTACATTTAACTTTGGGGGTGATAATGAAATGGTTTTCCAGAGTGGCGTGTGCCATTTTCTTTCTCACCAGCAATGGACAAAGGTTATAGTTTCTCTAGCTGACTCCATTGTAGCTATTATAGAGCTCAGCCAAAAATAAAGCTTTCTTCCAAGAAAAAGTCCATGCATGCTAATAGGCACACCATGTCCTAATTCAGTTCCTGGGACATTGCCATGGATTTCATGTTGGAGGACTTTTTATTAAAATTTGTCTAAAAATATAACGTTGCTTTTTTATTTATTTTTCTTAGCAGAAGAAAATCCAAGGGTAAGAGTGCACAGCTTAGGCTAACATAACCTTTTTCTCCAAAACATGTCAAGGCATTAGGTAACTGTTTGCTGAAGGCTGTTTGCTGAAATAGGTATAGGAGAGAGTACCCCTCCTGTTTGAGCAGTACATTCATTTAACTCACCTTGTTGACGGAGGGAGTCTGCTCTGTGCCAGAGCCTGTTGGAGGCAGGGGGTTCTGCTGTGAATCAGACAGCAAATAAATCCCTACCCTCAAGGAGCTTACAGTCCTCTTGAGGCAGATAGAGATATCCAAATCAAAAGTGACAAAGTAGATCTATATATAAATCATTTTATTGGGGGCTCTTACAGCTCTTATCACAATCCATACACCCATCCATCGTGTCAAGCACATTTGTACATAGGTTGCCATCATCATTTTCTTTTATTTACTTATTTTTTAAATTAAAAAAACAACAACCTTATTTGTTTATTTTTGCCATCATCATTTTCAAAACATTTTCTTTCTACACGGGCCCTTGGTACCAGTTCATTTCTCCCCCTCCCCCA